TCTGACCTAGAAAAAAGTATCAAGAAGATTGAGAAAACAACCAAGAAAAATGATCATATATGAGGAATACTGGTTACCATCAAGCGCCCCAACATCCAGATAATTGGTATCCCAGAAGAGTAAGAAAATAGTAAGGGCATAGATAATTTATTCCATGAAATCCTGGAAGAAAGCTTTCCAAACCTAGAAAAGCATTCAAATATCCAGACTCAAGAAATACACAGGACCCTGAGTAGAATCAACCCAAGAAGATCCTCTCCAAGGTACATAATAGCCCGACTGGCAAAAACAACAGACGAAGATAAGATACTAAAGTTGGCAAGAGGGAAACATCAAGTTACTTACAAAGGTCACCCCATCAGGCTAACATCATATCTCTTGGTGGAAGTGATGCAAGCAAGGAAAGAATGGGGAAATATAGTCAAAGTGTTGAGTGAAAAACAATTTCAACCAAGAATACTATACCCAGCAAGATTATCTTTCATATGGGAAAAAAAGATAAAAACATTCTTGGATAAACAAAATTTGAAGGAATTTACCAACTCCAGACCAGCTCTTCAAGAAGTTCTGAAGGGATTGCTATACCAGGAAAACTAAAAAGTCAGATAGACAGTTACATGAGAGCAAAAAGCAACCAAGAAAATGGCAAACATAATGATAGGAACAAGTACAAAAATATCGATAATTACATTGAATGTCAATGGATTAAATTCTCCAATTAAGAGACATAGACTGGCTGAATGGATTAAAAAAAGAAACCCTCTATCTGTTGCCTACAAGAAACTCACCTTATGGATAAAGACATCCATAGACTAAAAGTAAAGGACTGGAAAAAGATATTTCATTCAAATGGAAATCAAAAAAGGGCTTGAGTAGCGATATTGATTTCAGACAAAATAGATTTCAAGACAAAGACCGTAAGAAGAGACAAAGAAGGGCATTATATAATAGTAAATGGGGTAATCCAGCAATAAGACATAACATTTATAAATATTTATGCACCCAACTCAGGTGCTCCTAAATATGTGAAGGAAAGACTGCTGGAGCTAAAAGGAGAGATAGGGAGAAATACTATAATTGTTGGAGATCTCAACACCCCATAATCTCCTTTAAACAGATATTCTAGGCAGAAAATAAATAGAGCGATACAGGACCTAAATGATACTATAAATTGAATGGACTTGACAGATATCTATAGAACTTTCCATCCTATGTGCACAACATATACATTTTTCTCACCCCAGCATGGAACCTTTTCAAAGATAGATCATATGTTAGGACACAAATCAAGCCTTTACAGATTCAAAGGCATAGAAACTATATCTAGCATTTTCTCTGACCATGATGGAATTAAACTCAAGATTAATTTCAAGAAATATCCTCGAAAATTCACAAACACATGGAAACTGAACAACCTACTTCTGAATGACTTCTTCACTACTAAAGAAAGTAAGTCAAATTTAAAAACTTATGGAAACAAATGATAATGAGTACACAAATGTCCATAATCTATGGGACACAGTAAAAGCAGTCATAAGAGGGAAATTCATAAATTCATAGCAATTAGTGCACATAAGAAAAGGATAGAAAGATGGCAAATAGATAATCTAACATAATGCCTCAGGGAATTGGAAAAATAACAACAAACAAATCCCAAAAATGCCAGGTGAAAAGAAATACTAAAGGTTCGAGCAGAAATAAATGAAATAGAAAATAAATAAACAATACAGAAAATAAATGAAAGCAAAAGCTGGTTCTTTGAAAAGATTAACAAGATTGACATACCATTGGCTGGACTGATCAAGAAGAAGAAAGAAAGAAACCAGATAAATCAAATACATGATGAAACAGGCAATATTACAACAGACATAGTAGAAATACAAAATATCACTAGAGGATACTATGAGCGACTATATGCCAACAAACAAGATAACTTGGAGGAGATGGACAAATTCCTGGATGCATATAATCTACCAAGATTGAATTAGGAGGACATAGAGAACCTGAATAGACTCATAACAAGCCAGGAGATTGAATTAGTAATAAATAACCTCCCGACAAAGAAAAGCCCAGGTCCAGATGGCTTCACTTCTAAATTCTACAAAACTTTTAAGGAAGAATTAATCCCTATCCTGCTCAAATTATTTCTAAAGGGTCAAAAGGAAGGAAACCTTCCAAATTTAATTTATGAAGTCTCCATCATCCTCATTCCCAAAACAGATAAAGACATGATAAAAAGGGAAAACTACAGACCAATATCACTGATGAATACAGATGCAAAAATTCTCAACAAGATACTTGCAAATTGTATCCAACAACATATAACAAAGATTATTCATCATGACCAGGTAGGCTTTATCCCAGAGATGCAAGGGTGGTTCAACATATGCAAG